TTATTATAATATATTTTAAATTATAATTAATCATTTTAAATCTTTTAACCACTTTAAATGCTTAATTATCCAATAAATGAATGTCAAATTTTTTTAACCGACTTAAATTCTGAATTGAATAGCCAAATAGTCACATATGATTTATCATAAATGTTGTCAAACAGTTTTCAGGATCTAACCCCCTTAGAATTTCGTAAGTCTAAATTTAGAGGATTTACGAAATCATATTTAAATGAAATCATGTGTGCTACCAAATAGCCCTACATATGTAAAAGCAATAAAATACCAATTAGGACAAATATCCAAACTTTATGCAAAATCCGCCAATCAAGAGAGAATATGATGAACATGCAAAATAAGGTCAAAGAGCCAGAGCACTGCAAGGAGATACCAGGCTTTACGTAGCAGGATAGGGCGGGATTTAATAAATCCTAGCATTAGCCGTATTTAACTTATATCACATCGATGCTTTCTGACAAACATCTATTCTTCTTCACATGTTGTTGCTCCCGTTAGTGCTTTCTCCGATGAGCTCCCGTTAATGCTTCCTCCACTGAGCTCCTATCACCACTTCCTGTTGCTATGTTGTCGAGGGTTTTTGGAAATTTTGGGGATGAGATTTGGGGAGTAAGAGAAGGTTCTGGGGATTTACATACATACCACTTTATTTCATGTTATTTATATATCTAATATCTAAAATATTAATATTAAATGTCTACCACTCATAGAAAAATATATAGGTGCATGCAATGAAATATTAAAATTTATATCAATGTTTTGGGGCAAAACCAACCTAAATTTTAGGGGGGGTGGGCAAACTTATAAGTAACTATTGATGTTGATTAGAATTTGGCTTGATCCTTCACTACAAGAAAATAGGTCAATAGCGGCCCCTATTTGTCCATATTCTTGATCGTCGTACAATTTGTAGATATATCGAGGGTCAAAGGAATAAAGACAAAAAAATAAATAGATGGGGACAAATTACATAAAGAATAATATAACCATTTTTTTTCGATAAGGCAATCCCCCCCCCCACACCATGTTGAAATTAATCAAATATAATTAAAAGTTAATAATTTAAGTATACTAATATTCTTTATCATTTAATTTTGATTAAACATAATTTGTCATATTTAATTAGTTTATGACTATTAATTAATGGTCTATTATGTTATTAATTATAATTTATTAAAAAGCAAACTTATAAGTAACTATTGGTTGATTAGTATATTTGGCTTGACCCTTCACTAACAAGAAAATAGGTCACAGCGGCCCTATTTGTTCATATTCTTGATCGTCGTACAATTTGTAGATATATCGAGGGTCAAAGGAATAAAGACAAAAAAAAAATAGATGGGGACAAATTACATAAAGAATAATATAACCATTTTTTTTTTGCCGATAAAGGCCACCCCTGCATTCCAAGCCGTTCCAGCCAGGCCCCCCCGTTCTTCCCCTCTCCCCCCCACCCCCCCAAATATGAAATTAATCATAATAATTAAAAGTTAATAATTTAAGTATACTAATATTCTTTATCATTTAATTTGATTAAACATAATTTGTCATATTTAATTAGTTTTATGACTATTAATTAATGGTCTATTATGTTATTAATTATAATTTATTAAAAAAAATCATGAATAAAATTAAAATCAAATACAATTAGAGAATATATATATATATATATATAATTGATCTCAACAATTAATATTAGCTAATTAAAATTTATTATCTTCAATTAATTTATATTATTTTAAAATTTTCTTTTATTTAAATATATGTTATTATTTAATTAGATTAGTATAATATTGATTGATTATTAGTTGAGATATTTATTTAGATTAACTATAATTTAATTAGTATAAGTAAGTTACAAGCAAAGTAAATACAATAAGATATGTAATGGTTAAAATTTTTAAATTCTAAAACAAATAGCCAAATAGTTTATCTGAATTTAACACATATCATACCAAATTGTTCTCAAAATTTAACTCACACAAAATTTTATAATTACTCAAATAATGATGAAGTAATCTCTCAAAATTTTTATTTAATTGAGAACAAAATAAAATGCAAAAATGAGTTGTTTCACAAAAAAAAAAAACTCAATGTGAATTAAACAATGAAATAAAAGTCATAAAGAAAATGAGAAGTTTCAATTGATAAGATTTCTTCCAAAAAACAAAACTTTCTTTAAACATTAATGGAAACTCTAAGGGTCCGTTTGGAAGAGCTTTTTCGATGCTTTGCTTTTCAAATAGCAACTAAAATTTTATTTGGTCATTATTTTATTGTTGTCTTCTTGATGTTTTTAACTAATTTATGTGATGAAAATTTATTTTTTGCAACTTAAGTAGTTAAGTTGCTTTTACCACAACAACTCGATCATCAACTTTATAAAATAATGCAGTCATCCCAAAGGCCCAAACGAATCCTACATGTAGTATGTTGATCCACAAAATGGCTTTTATCTATGTCAACACAAATCTATTTGACATTTACATTAGACTTCAAGGAACAGATCACAGCCATCAAAATTTCAACTTTTTAAGCTGAATAATAAACTAATCGATTTAAGGTGGTAGAGGATCATTTCTGGGTTCGACCCGAACCCAACGAGAAAACCCATTTTGACACCCATAGTAAATATGTATTAGGCATCATGTTATTATATATTTATATGGATAGCATTAATTTTATTTTAATCGCTCATAAATTAAAAATATGTTTAAATTTATGAAATAACTTAAATTCAATTGAAAATGAAATAATTACATGATATTATAAATTATTAGTTTAAAATTGAGAAAAATTATTATTATTATTTTATAAAAAATAGAAAAAATAAATATAATGAAAAATCATAGAAAATAACACAAAATAAGAATGTTAAGTAACTATTAAGTTATTTAAATAATATACTTTAAAATAAAGGGAGATTTACATACATACCACCTTATACTATTTCTATTTATATATTTAACAGCTAAAATTTTAATATTACATACATACCACCCATAGTTCATTTTCATATCAAATATGAGTGATAAAAATGAAATATATGAGTGGTATGAAGAAAATATGAGCGACATATTTGATATTAAAATAATATAGTGTTATGTATGTAATATTAAAATTTTGGGTGTTAGATATGTAAATATGAAGGTATAAAGTGGTATATATGTAAATTTCCCATAGCTTAACTTGTGTTATTTACATAATATACATTTAAAGTTAAAATTTATCATTCAAGTTATATATGGAAAATATCTATTCATTAAATTTTTTATTTCTTTTCACTTAATATGTAGATGATATGTCAAACACATATTGGGGACATAACATATTTTATTATTATGAGTGTTGGAACATCAAAACTAAGTCCCAAACAATCAAATCAACTCCAAAATCATTTAGGTTAAGTGCTTTCTAAAACATTTTTCAGTACGAAAAATTATAATTAAAAAAAAAATTATACTAAAAAATTATTTTAGAAAACAGTAAAAAAATTACCCCAAATAAAACCTTAATCTTATCTCTGAATTCGGTGACCAAACATCCAAAATTATTGGCCAGTTCAAAGTGAAGTTGCTTGAGACTTCATCAAACAGGCATCATTCAGTAAGAATTTTATCCTTAGAACTCATTTAAAATTATACATGTAATTAAACAATTTCTAGTTAGTTAGCCTCATTCAATATTAAAGGAAATATTTCTTAAGCCTAATCATGTACATTTATTTTTATTATTTAAATATAGCCTCTTATGTACTTATGAATTTTAACCAAATTCTATAAATAGAGGGTAAGATAATGAGCTATACATGGACATTCTAATAGAACCAATTCAACTTTCCTTTCCAACAAAGATAGAATAAAATCCCGAAACTTTTCTCTGTTATTATTTTCTTCATAGAAACTTTCTATATTAAGACTTTATTTGGGACAACTTTCTTACTACATCATGAAATAACTTTCTACTTTAAAAAATTGTAATTCAAAAATTTTTTTTGCTAAAAAACTATTTCATGAAGCAGCTTTCTAGTAATAAAATTTAAATTTTTTTTTACTAAAAAACTGTTTTAAGAAACATTAAGAAAGCTATCCCAAACAATCATTTGAGACAACTTTCTTACTATTTCTTAAAGCAGCTTTATACTAAAAAACTGTTTTAAGAAGCAGTAAGAAAACCATCCCAAACCAAGCGCATCTCTACATTCTTTTCGCAAAATGATGTCTGTTTGTAGTCCCCATAGAAGTGCTTTAATCATCTAGAGATTATACTGTGCGGTCATCGGACATAGCCTACCGTCCAGAGGCCAAACAGGTGCAATCACGTCATCTATTATCGAGCTCAATAACAAGCAATACCGAGCCACGGTACCGAGTAGGGATGACGTAGCATATTTTTATTGAGTTTTGGACGACGTTTAGTGTCCGCACCTAATAATTTTACCTAATCATGAATGTGTTGGCTGAAATAGCATCAGGACGGCCCATCTTTATATCAAACAGGAAAAAAAAAAGACAACAAAATAAACGAATGATAGCTGTATGGAGTAGAAATGTAGAGATAAAAAGAGTACTTTTTTCAGGTTCAAAACCCAGTCCATATCCATCAAATACAAACACATTCAAGCAGCACAAAAACGCTGCATTCATCTGTAATGTTCAAGAATGCTGTTCAAATTGAATTCAGCCATTCCTCAGCCCACAGAATATGGTCAGGGGCTGATTCATAAGTGGCAGAAAACGTAGGGCTCCAGGAAAGTTTATGCAGTCTGATTCAATGTGCTCGGTCTCTGATAACCTCAATGTCCATTTCAGTAGGATCTGTCGCCTGAATCTCGTAGTGGACTCCATCAAGCTCCTGCCTGAATAGAGCCTTGGATGTTGCATAAAGCATCTTGGCTCGAATTCGAGACATGGATGGGGACCTGGTTCAGCATGGCAATGCAAAAAATGAGGACTTCTGGTGAAAAAACCTAATAAGAATGTCAATGAAAGCAACATAAAAACATATAATTTTCCGGCTATTAACCATATAATTTTGTTAGGCCGGGTCTTGTTTACAGGAGGCGGACAAAAGCCGCCCCCTTTGATTTCGCCGCCCAAGCTAGTGGGCCCCACTAGGAGCCAGATAAACAGAGAGGGGGGCGAGAGGGAAAATTTGAATTAAGAGTTTGAATTAGGGAATTAATGTATTAAATAGTATGGGTTGTTTAGGGTTAGGATTATGCTTTTGTTTGATGGCTAATTTCGAAGTCTTGTTCCTTGGTGTCTTGGGCTCTAGCTTTTTCTAGAGATTGGGAGAGAGCAATCCTCCTCTCGAATTGAGGATCAATTGTATCTTGCTTTTGTCGCTCGGTTAGATGTATCCTTGATATAAAATTACTATTTTATTGAGATTTCCCTCTGATTTTGTGTTGTTTCCTGTTGTTTGTGCCGACCCCATGTAGTGGGATAAAGGCTTGATGTTGTTGTTGTAGTAGTACCAAAATAAAACATATTTAGGGTTAACTGGATAAATCACTCAGCATGTTTCTTAGTTCTGCTTGACAAATCACAACCAAAGTTTATTAGAACAACGCACACCCTAAGAAATGTTTCCTAATATAGAAGCTCATGGCAGCTAAAATTCTTGATCCCACAAGTAATAGATATTTTTCAAAGCATTTATGCATTTATGAATATTGGGCAATTCGAAAGGTAATTCAATAGAATACATATATTAGTATCTCATAAGTAAGAGGATAAACAAAAGTAACTCTCATTTATAGTTTATAAAACATTCGCTTCAATAATAAATGGATACACATTTTTCTGTATTCTCTAAAATTGAAAACAGAACATATGAGGTTACCATCTAGTGATATAATACATGCGCAAATTTTGTACAGGTTCCTAAGTCCATTTCAAAAAACAGTATCTTTATCACAAGATACCTTAGGACTAGACTCAGATTGAAGATACTTTACATTTTAAATCTCCTGAATTCAGAACTTCATGCATCCATATTTTAAAACTGAAGCGGCATGATATTTTAAGGCTCATATCACAAAGAAATGGACAAGAGCATAATAGACAATATATAATTTTAAGAAACCAACACACAAATTCAAAATCCACCCCAAGAAAATTTATATAATATGAACCTTAAATGTATAATGCACAAGTTTGATTGAGTGATACCTATTTCGATCAGAATACAACAGAAATAAAAACAATTAAAAGGTCCAAAAGTTAAGGAAATTACCAAGCAATGAAGAATATCTTGCTCTTCTGGCAATTTTCTTGGGTAACAAAGTCAAAATCATAGATGGCATATCTGCAATCATTTTCGGGTAGTGAAGACACAAAATCATTGTAGCTCTCTGCAGTGCCACCAGTCTTCTCAACAACAACCTCCTTTAGCTTCTCATCAATTTTGAAAATAACATATCGATGTGTTTTCTTCCTCTGAAGCTCTAAGAATGTGTCTTTGCACTGATTAGCGACACCCATCCCAGATGATGCACAAGACTGGAACAAAAGTAGCAAATCGACATAACAGAGAGCATCAGTGTTAGAACCATTGTGCCAGAAAGGCACAGCAGCACAAAACAAAATAAAATATGATTAGAAAATTGAAGCTTGTTTCATCTTCGCATACCAGATTTAGGCCACATAATTTATCATAAACACTATAAGCAATTTAAAAAATATAATCTCAAATTACTTTAATCCAACAGGACTTAAAATCCATATTAGCACACCAAAGTAAAGATTTCAAACAAATTCCTTAAGCTTACAATTCACAAAAACTGCACGTTTATCTCAGTTGTTTTCCAGCATACGGCCTTCTTGCAGATATAAATTATGTGTAAAAGAATGAAGTATCAAATGTCGTGTAAAGAGAATATCGAAGTCTTCATTTAAAGGAGAAGATGCTATCTACATTCTATCAGTCATAAACCACATAAGCCAATAGATCCTAGTAGAACCATAAAATCTGATACCACTTAGAAGGGAGGATGAACCAAAAGGGGATAAAAGTTTGACGGATATGTCAATGGTCAAACCTATTTTTAACTCAAAAACTTGGCCAATGGGAGAGGGTCAATCACTTGGTATTCTCCAACAACAACAACAACATCAAGCCTTTATCCCACTACGTGGGGTCGGCTACATGATTCCTTTTTTTTCCATTGTGTCCTATTAAAAGTCAAATTCTCGTTTAAATTCTCACTTGGTATTCTACACTAATATATTTTTTGACCATGTAATATAAGACTAAATCAAATGTTGTCATGTGCCTTAACAGAGTGAATGCGATACAATATGGTTTAGGAAAATGTAACATCAATTAGACAACTAAGGAGGAGGAGAAGGCACACGGGATTTTCTAGGCGTCTGGGAAGGAAGATATGAAGAAGAGTGGCCCCAGCTAGAATAGCAACCAAAGGCTTCTTCATTATCACCGTTAGCTTTATCTCATCTTTTGATGGCGTTAGATGAGCGGTTAAATGCTAATGATTAGCTAAGAAAATACAGTTAAAATTAGTAGCAATTCTACTTTAACCAACCAATTAAGTATTATTAACATTAAACAACCAGTTAGTAGCTGAGAAAATATAATTAGCAAATTATTATAATGTTCTTGTCCAAAAAGTTGTAGTGAACTAGGAGCTTTAATTAATGGAACTATCAATTCATTTTAGTTCAAGAGGATTGATATGGTAATTAATAGCTACTTAACTACTGATATCAATGCACCTAACAAAACATGCTTAATAAGATTGAGCCTAAATTACTTGTTTGATCCAAGATTAATAATTGTTTCACATTAGAATAAGGAACTGAAACCCCATCACAACCCAGATTTACTTTCTAAGTTGATGAATAATAATTGCATTATCTTTTAATTAGTCACAATTAGTCACACTTCCAACAAAAAGGATTTGGACAAAATCCAGACTGATCAGGCAAGATTAAATTATAGCACCAGAATTCATTAATCTTGATTGAATTGATCTAATCCTGATGTGAACATGTACAAAATGTTCAGTGCATCAACGGTTTTGAATTACAAAAAAAAAAATACTGAGCATAAAGTAATATATCTACCCCAAAAATAATGGAAATATTTATAAAGGCCTTCCTCCAAATATTCGGAATGAACAATTTATCAAGAGGTCCTACTATTCCTCAAACTCATCAGTCATGAAATATTGATTATACAATTTAAGAAAAGGGAGAATCCCAATTTGTTTTATTCTCTAACCAGCAAATTGCCAAATGAGTTATGTCATATACTGTTGGTACCACATTTCATCAGGAATTAGATAGGATTCACCTTAAATCCAGCCAAACATTATTCTTGAGGATTTCTTAAATCCCAAATATCAAAAACTAAGAATTTGGTTGGATTTACTAAATCCAAACCTAAATCATGGATTTAGTAACTCTTCCCAACAATAGGATTTAAAGAAAATGGGGATGCAAAATCCAAGAATTTAGTAATAAGTATTCTGACTTGCATCCAAATAGTTTTAATAATTCAACTCAGTTTAAAGATAAATATTGACAAACAGATAGCTTTTAGCACTTGGCACTCCCAATGGTTTGCTAAATCTGCATTCAAATGATCTACTAAATCCAGATTTACCCAGCCAAAAGAAGCCATTTCTCCAAAAAATTAAATACAAATAAAATCCACTAACAAGAATAACAACAAAAGCCTAAATTAGATCGTTCCTAAATATCCGCAAACTAGTTTCTTCCCAAATCCCAACCCTCCAGAACAATTTTGATCACATAATGACACCTTAAAGCAAAAAAATTCGCACCAAATCGACCCACGAAAACTCGGACAACATCTAATTCCAGCACAACAAAAAAAAGCAAGATCACGACCAAGAATAACAGTCGACTCAATCCAAATTCAAAAGAATCACGATCCAAATGCAATGAAAGACCTATAAAACAACTTCCACTGACTAACAATCGCGATACCACAGAAGAACCAAGGTCTTACATAGGATCGGAGGAGAGCCATCTCGAGCAGGCGAGAGGTAAACCGATAATATCCACTTTCTCTCGGTGGGAGAAGAAGAGTAGATTGAAGAAGAAACAGAAGCGAAATATAATCGAGACGGAAGAGCAATGGCTTCCTTTCTCCAAAGTTAGCGTGCGAAATAGGCGGAACCTTCGACTTTTAGTGGCGGGCAATTTACTGTCTTACGACCGTCAGATCCGATCGGACGGTCAGTGGAAGGTAGTTTGGTCTAGCCTGCTACTTGCACGGTAAGGGAAATGCCGTGGTTTGATCTCAGCCGTTGGTTTAAACTAGCTGGACCGTTGTTTTTTAACCCGTGGTATTACCGTATTTGAGTGGATAACCTAATTACAGCAGCCTTACATTTTAGAATAATTCAACGATGTAGCTGTAATTATTTGATTGCCACGTCATTAGATAAACATTTAGCTGCCGTTGGTTTGAAGTAAAAGGATGGTAAAACCGTAAAATATTTTAAATGCAGAGTCTTTTAAAAATATTGATATTTGATTTGAAGTAAATTAATGCACGTAAAATTTTGTTGCATTTGAAATTTAGCATTTTTTTCTTGGTGAATTAAAAAATTCTCATATTCTATGAGTTTCAAATACACTATAAATTCATCATTTTTTGCTGCCGCTACCAGTACTGTCATCATCGTCCACCGTTTGCCACCATCATCCACTGGCCACCACCGCCGACCACGACCCCCACCATCGTTGACTGCCACCCACTACCATCCATTGACCACTGACCGTTGATCATATATTGTTGTCACTACCAACAACTGTCAGCCACCGCCCACCACTATTGTCATTGTCACTATCCACCATGTTCGTCGCCACCGGCCACCACCATCGTAACCCAACCCCGCTCACCTCCAGCTACTACTAGCAATCATCATCGTTGTAGGCCACACACTCTTGGGAATTTACATTGCACCTATTTTACTTCAAATCAAATAAAAAAGAAATCTCATGCATTCATTTTATACTCATTCAAACAACTACATGTAATTTCATTTACATTGAATTATTTTTTCATCCAACAAAATATCCCCTTCCCATTTCTCTCCTTTTTTTTAACTAAACCTTAAATAAATAAAAATGATATATATTGATCAGTGGGAGGAAATTTTGAAAATTGCTGAGGTCAATGTTAAAAATTACATGCATGCAAGAACGCACATTAATCATGCACATTCACGTGTTGATTGTGTTTTTTGTGTGTCCAAAAAAATTGCTGAGGTCAACGCACTTGGGCGGCTTGTTATTCGTGCCCTAGAGCAAGCAGGCACTACTGGTGTTAGCAGTGACGGAGCCAAAAAATTTATTGAGAGGGGGACTAAATTATTTTATTAAAATTTCTCTCAACTTTTTTTATATTAATTGGGCTTAAGACCGGCATAGACAGTTTTAATTTTTTTTTAATTATTATCCAAAAATGTATAATATTAAATATAAGATAGTAAACAACTTACAATTTACAATATTAAATATAAGATTTGTGATTTCTTCATCTTAGAAAGCAATTTTTTGAAAAACTATGCATTTTATTTTAATTCCTCAAAAGTGAGGATTTCAGTTTGTCTCTCATAATGATTGAAAGCAAAAAAAAAAAAAAAAAAAAAAAAAAAAAAAATTTTTCAAAAAAAAAAAAAGATTTTCTAAAGATTGCTTTGTATTTTACGACCAACCAAATGAGCCCTTAAAGTTCTAATAAAAAACTTAAAGAGTTATAGTTGGGATTTTAACAAAGAAAAGCCATAAATAGGAAAACCAGCGAACAAAGCTACAAACTTTTCCGACAAGTTATGAACTTCAGCTTCTCTCCTCTTCGAGCCAAATCGCTGTGAGTCGATGCCACTGGTTTCGCTACCTCCTCCGCCGCCTCCTATAATAGTACACATCAGCAAACCCCAACAATTTATCCATCAAATCCATCTCAAGCGATCTGCTCCTGTGCCGCAGACGAGCGGGAATGCCCGCCGCCGTAGCTGATATCCATAAATCTTTGAATTTGAATCTATTGAATTTTTTTTTTCAAACCAATCAGCGCGACACTTCAATTTAGTTGTTTTATTTTATTTTGTTTTTTTTATTTCGGACAGTTTTAAAAAACTGCTTGTGTTTCCTATGGTTATATATTTTCGGTGAAGAAGCAAAAGAGATATTTTACACTCTGTTTTTCTTTGCCCGTGAAGTATTTAGAAACATAAAAGTTTTTTTTTTTCTTTGTTATATTTTTTTGCTTCCAATAATCTGCTTCCCTTGCTTCCAAAGAAGACTCATTCCTAAAGCTTTGCTATCTTATAAACATTTTTTTAATTATACAATGGTCTAAAGTATTTTTGGGGTTCTAACACCATTTTTTAAAATTATTAACTCAATTTCAACAGTTTTGGAGTCCAACAAAACCTCTACAATAATTTTTGATCTATTTTAAAATATCTTGATAAACATTTTCAATAATTGTGACTCTAATCAACAGCCCAATTGAGCCTAGATCAAGCAATTAACGTGTAATAGTCCAACTTTTTGAACAATTTAAAATTTCCAAATTTCCCATAACTTTTCTCGTGGAAGCGTTGTAGCAGTGGGTAGAGCGGCGCCCTAGCACTGTACTCTTTGGAATTCTTGAAAAATAATTCAATGCAAGGGCGCTGTGAGCAACGCCGTAGAATTGTGACATTTATATGTAGCATTATGGCATTGGAACTTTTATTTCGTCCGGTGTAAAGATGCAGACCTCGGTATAGGCACGATTTTACCTACAACCGGATGTTCCTCTGCATCCGGTCGGAGGACGTAATAATTGGCTTCAGGCACTAAAAAGAGTTTTAATATTATTTAATGTAAATATCCTTGTCATCCACTCCACTCTCCCCCTCACTTCAGTTGTCTTGGCCAGGAAGGAAAGGAAGAAGAAGGGAAGAAGGAGAGAGGAGAGAGAAGGCGGGCAATTGGTCGCAGATTCATTTCGTTGTTTTTATAAGAAAAAAAATTTAGATTTTTTTAGGTAACTTTTAGGCTTCGTTTGTTTTTTTTTGTGCTTTTGTAAAACACAGTTTTAAAAAATATTAGTTCAGAAAATGGAGTTTTCTAAAGGAGAAGCACATTTAAAAAGCATTCTCAAAACTGCAGAAAAATGAGAAAAAAGGAGTTATTGGGAACGTGATTTGACGAACCAAACAACACAAAAAAAAAAAAAAATTCCTCCGTTTTAGGAAACGGAGAAGGCAAAAAAACGCTCAAACAAACAAAGCCTTAATCTACTCCTATTTTCAAATATTTCAATTTCTATTGTTTGATTTCTCTCAAAGAGATTTTAACGGCATATCTTCGATTTTAGTAAGTTGCTATCGTGTAACTTTTTATAAATTGTATTACTGTGTATTCTAAACAAATTGACTAGATTATTTTGTATTACCATTGAATTGAGATTTATTTCTTTTCATATGAATATAAGAGGAATGATAATTTTGGTATTATTGATACAATTACATTGTTAAGACAATCATGATGAATGAGTACAAGTATGTGAATGAGTAATAACGGGTTATTATTTCTTTTGCAATAATGTCAGTGTAAATATGGCAAGGTTGGTTATTAACTAAGGCTGGTTGAAGACTGTTTTATACTATATAAGATGGTGGATCAACGAGCTTTTCTTTAAATATTGTGATTTGTATGATATCTTCTACTGATTCACGTGATTTAAAGATTCAAAATTATAAGGAGTTAATTAATGTACTGATGCTAGGGGTTGGATCCAATTTTTTTTTATTTGGGGCACAATTTATTGAATTTTTTTTTTAAAAATTCTTAACCTTTTTCATTTGAGCTTGGGACCAATATTGTAACATTTTTTTTTTAAATCATCAATAAAAAAAGATATAACATATAATAAAGAAAAAAACTTACAATTGAGAATGTTAAATCTTAATATTCTTTGTACATATTACTTATAATGCCTTCTGTCGAGTCTGTATATTTTGAAATCATTGTGCAATTATTTCATTTTCAATGATGCTAGGGGTTGGATCCATTTTTTTTTATTTGGGGCACAATTTATTGAATTTTTTTTTTAAAAAATTCTTAACCTTTTTCATTTGAGCTTGGGACCAATATTGTAACATTTTTTTTTTAAATCATCAATAAAAAAAGATATAACATATAATAAAGAAAAAAACTTACAATTGAGAATGTTAAATCTTAATATTCTTTGTACATATTACTTATAATGCCTTCTGTCGAGTCTGTATATTTTGAAATCATTGTGCAATTATTTCATTTTCAATAATATTAAATATATTCTTTTCTATATAAGTAAGTAGACATCATCCATCAAGGAGTCTCTTATACTATTGTGTAAATGATTTTCTATAATATTCATTGCAGAGAATGCCCATTTGACTATTGTTGTAATAATTGATAATATTAGTGCAAACTTTATTAGTAGAAACATCAAAGGATAAATATCATTTTTCCTAGTATCCAATATTTTTTCTAAGCAAGTTTCTCGAGTTCTTTTAAATTGATAAATGCATTGTTCGATTTCACTTCAATGATAAAATTCTCAATTTGATTGTCTAATATGATGAGAACCATTTTTAAATAAATATGACGGATAAAATTTTGCCAGATGTAACAATTGTTATTTATCAAAAGCTAAAAATAAATAACACGGATTCAAACATTTCATGTACATAAGTAAATCTATATATAATTTCATCAAACTTGTAATCAAGCTCTTGAAATTACATATCTATCACTATATAAAATAATTTGATTTGATAATGATGTATAATTATGATAGTATGAGTACGATGCCTTGATCTACCTCACATTACAAATGTATCAATCATATTTTGGAATTTTTATGTTATTCTTCTCACAAAATAATACAAGTTCTTTAAACAAAATATCTCACCTGTCATCTCTCATAATTTGAAGCCTTTGCTTAGATAAATTTATCAAATTCATGGCATTTATAATATCCTGATTGTTTTTTTTACATTACTTGTGATAACTCATTTGTAACTCTTAATATAATATTCATCATATACAAATTTAAAACTCTGCATGGTATCAAGTAGAGCTAATACTTCACTTTTTTATTCACTGCTAG